CAAATAATGCTATTGCAAGATTGTCTCTGCCCAGGAAATTGACATTATCCGTTAACACTCAGACTCGTCAATACTAAGCAATCAAAGTGAGAGAATTCTTAATTCTACCAGGAAAGCAGAATAGTTAGTAGTTGGACAGGGAGAACTCTGGGAAACGGTGACGTGAGGGTCCCCATGGCCTCTGTCCCTGATGACCCAGTTATTATTTGATTTATGTGGACTTGCAGCTGCCCTTGCTTCGACCCCAGAAAAGGCTGTGTGGGAAGTTTGTGTCTCAGAGCTGTAGCATTGCTCTGCGGAGTGTCTGGAGCCTGGTGTATGCACAGAAACTGATAAATAGGGAAAAGGCCCAGTTTGCTCCAGCTGGACTCAGAGCTGGGATCAGCGCTACAACCCAGCGGACTCAACTCTGGAAGCACGAAACTCTCTGGAACTACCGTAAGTATTTAATTTACTTCTCTGAATGCTCTGGGATTATAAATTGATGCTTTAGCCATAAAACAATTTGCCATGTGAAAATATTTCAGGCATTCGGCTTTTTACTTTTTTACTTTTTTTTTTTAGTTTCTTTTTAAATGGTTGTTTAAAGGAAAGTAGAAAATGTGCAATTTTAAACTTGGTATTCCACTGCCAAGAATTTTTTCCAGCAGTATTTCATTTGACATAAAGAGTGAAGTAAAATGACTTTTAAATTCAATTATTTGTTTCCCTTCCCCAAAGTACCTAGAAAACTGTAAGTTTCAAACAACTAACCTCTTATTTTACAATGTATAAAAAGTATACTTTTGAAATAATTATTCATGGGGTAACAATTCCAAAGGAAGATTTCAAGATAATGGCAACATAGTCCATTAGTGAAATAAGCCAATTGCTACTATGATTATAATATAAGCATATTTAATGAGATGATTAAGTATGATTTTGTCAAACAGCAGCTTTGGGGAGCTTCCTGGGACATTGAAACTGGAAGAACCAGATAAAACTTAAATAATGGATGTAAGCTGCACATAGGATCACATGAATCTACAACTTCCCCTGCAAAATCATTCTTTAATTGCAGCGGTCAGTGATTACTGAACTGCTCGAGTGAAACTGAATATATCACCTGGCATCGCACATAGTTGCCACTGACTTAAAGTATTTTTCAGTTTTTGGTATAAATGTCACAAATTAAAAAAAATAGGCCATGCTTTCAAGAAGCAAAAAAAATACAGCAATTAACGGAGATTAAACTGTGCTATCTAGTTCCACTATATGATCATCAACATGCTCCGAGGTGTGGTAAATGAATGTTGAAGACCTTCAGCTCAAGCGCCTAAAATTCCATGTAAACAAGAAATTTCCCTATGACTCAAATGTCAAAATATTTACAATAGCAGTTACTGTCAATACATACCTCTTAAAGAGCTCCTAGGAGCCTCTTCTACAAGAAGTATGGTTTGCATCTTAATAAATTTGATAATATAAGTTGATGATATATTACTTTATGATATGGTATTTTATAGCGATAAAAATGACAAACCCAGCATCTTTCACCATAAATAACCATAAACAGATGTACAGTGTGTATACTAGTCTGAATGTGTACATTCTGTTACGTGCCTAATCTGTGATTTTACCTTACTTTTATCAATTAACAGCTTTTTTCTTCCTTTAATGGCTTCCGTCTTTGATAAATTAAAAGTCTTTCAGTTAGGGCTAATAATGAAATGTTGCTGAATTTCTCTATGAGACGGATAACCAACCCCTTGAATCCATATACATTCCAATTTATATTGAACATGATTAGTTCAGAAGAAGAATTACTGTCAAAACCAGACAACCTAGAGTCTAGGTCACATCTTCTGAAATAAAATAATAACACTAATAACAAGAATAACATTAATAACAATAATAACACTACTACTACTACTACTACTACTACTACTACTACTACTACTACTGCTTTAAAATCTTCTGCCTGTAGAGGCTTTTAAAAATTAAAACAAACAAACATCACCCCTTGAAATGATCAAGATTTCACACATTAAAATACCCAGCAGAAATAGCACATCAGTAGTAACTGAGGAAATGCAGGGAACAGCATGTGCCTTTATGCAGATGATGTTTCCTTTCAGGTCAGTATGTCTGACTAGGGACTAAAGACTTTAATCCTAACTGTGTTTCTCCTTGTGATTTTCTGAAATGAGTTACTGAAAAGTCACCTTTTGTTTTCAGTTATTTCCACTTTTTTGGCTCGAGACCTTTATGCATTACCTCTGGGAATATATTCCTTTTTTTTTTTAACTTCCTTTCAAAGCACACATACACAAAATGCATGACTATATTTTGAGTACACAGAAAAGAGAAAAACGGGCACAAAGTATTTTGGTTTGTGAATGGCATAGCTCTCACTCCAATCTTGCTTCAACTTTGTCCAAATTATTATGCTTTGGAAAGTACAATTGGGTATGTATGCTACATTCTGTCAGATTCCATAGCTTCCCAGTGTGTTGCTGAGCCTTGTGGGCATGCCGAATTTACTTGCCTGCATGGCAAAGCGTTGATGAATGTATGCGTGGGCTGAAGGAGGGTCCTCTAGGTCGTGGCTCACTCCCACGAGGTATGAGAAATTAGGGATGGCTACTGAACTTTTAAGAGACCTGCACACAATACACCACAAAATTTCACCAACTCCTACAGTTTGGAGAAGGCTTCCTTATTGCTGACTGACTCATATATAAAGGGTGAGGCAGAAGTTTTAACATGACTATGACAGTCAATTTTATAAATAATCAAAACTTTCCTGTCCTAGAAAATTAAGTTCCTTCCTTACATATCTTATTCTGTTTGCCATATCTTCTGTTTTAAAATGTCCAATATTATTTCAAATTAGAAGAACAAGCTCGTTAACACTAAATACTCAAGTGCCTGAAAATGAAACAGTTAACATTCACGCAAAGGCACGACCGATAAATTTCAAGAGCATAGCATTCCTCAAATAACCACTGGATTTACTATTAATACTGTTATAACATCCTCTTAATTTAAGAGCTGCAATTTACAAAGTCTTGTTTTAAGCTGGGAGTTCAGTGGTTGCAAGTGGTAACTTTTATTAGCTGTAAAAAACAGTAACATCCAAATCCTCAAATCCATTCTCATACAAAACCTAAGCTGAGGAAACTTTGCCTAATTAAAGTCTGCTTCCAAGATTTAGAAAGCCTAATCACCTGCCCGTCTTGCATTTGGTAATACGTACTTCATACTCGCAATATAATATTTTTGTCAGAGTGAATCAGTGTAATTTTATTCTATTCTTTTATTATTTTTATTTAAAGAAACTGCTAGAATCCAGAAACACATTTCTTCAGCAAATACATGGGGGTTTTTTGAAAAATATGGACTTTGCCCAGGTCAAATTGATCTAACTGATAAGCACCTCATGATTCAGTGAGTCATTTCTCTCTCAAACAAATATTTACCAGCAGAGATAACAAAAAAACCCCAGCATTCCAGCCTCACTGCATCTTTTCACCTTCTGCTGACAGCACAAAGAGAAAGTGTTCAGTTCTACAGACATGTCCAGTTTGGAGCGAAGGGACATGTGTCTTTCAAGTAATTACTTTGGTTTGGATTCCCTGAAATGATATATTAATTTTCTCAGCTCTACCTAGGTATAGGTATTGCACAAAACCCAACGAACGAGCCTTTTGAGGAAGATCTTTTAACTCAATTTGCTGTAAAATTCTGCAAAACACATATCCAGAGGATCCCGTTGCTCACGTAGGTGTTTGATTTGCTATATTTTCCAAAGTATTACTTGCCTTTTTCATCTCTTCTGTCCCGCTCATCTACTTAGCAAAAGCCTATGAACAGTTCAGTGGCAAATTCTCTTGTAAAGTCCTTACTCAATGGGTGTCAGATAGAACACACTTTTAACTAGCGATGCTCTCATACATTCCATACATGCAGAGAGACAAGGGGGCAAGGAAAGTATTTCCCGCTTACTTCTCTAACAGCTACTACATTACCACTCAATTGCTAAGCAATACCAGCTTGTCTATACATATATGTAAACTCAAACCCAGCTTATGCTCGTGTCCATATAGACATTCTTTGGCTTCTAAAACTATTTTAAGAATTTTTAGAACACTTTTTCAGAGCCTCTCTATAAAGTCAAATTACTGAAAAATAATGTGCGTTTTGAACTCAAAACAGCTATTCTGCACCAACAGCATTACTGTAAACTCTGAGTACACTTCGTTATAGTCAATGTCAAAGCATCCAGCCAGGAGCCCAGACTCCCTCAATAATTGAGGGACAGAGAAAAGCTCTCTAGAGGGCAATACATCCTGTATGAGATTGATTTTTTTGGTCTTCACAGGATGCTTTGTACTCCTAAAAGAATACAGGCTCTTAAAATTTGGAACCAAATGTAAATTAGGCCAGTATTTAAGTGGGGCAAAGCTGACTTTTACTGTATATAGAGTATTTACATGAGGAAGGAGAAATATTCCTTGTAATTGCTGTATTGCTATATTTACTTGTTCAAAGGTGCATAAAAAAATGCAAGAAGCAAATTCACTAAAAGGCTATCTTTGTGCAGAAACAGAATATCCACAACTGGAAATGCTGTAACTCATTCTGCAAGCAGTGAAGCTCCTTTTAATCTCTTCCTGAACTAGAGAATATATAAGTGATTAGCCTGATTTCTCCACACTGTTTTGTGTTAAATTTGGAGTAAAACAGTCCTAAATATAACTTGGAAATTTAGAAATGGACTCTATCCTGAATCTGTATTATTAGGACAACCAAATGCTTTGCACCCTCATTTAAAGTATTGTGGGACTTTGCATATAACTCTGATTTTCTTACGTTATACAAACTGTTGCACATTCTGGATTTTCCTGGGTTTAACTCCATAGCTAAACCTACCCAGCAGTTCTTTCTCCCATGACGTTTCTCTCACTTTTCCATTCCTCTAGGTTGTGTTCTTAAAAGTCTATCACATAGCAAAGTGAATGAAACAGTGCAGTTGGGAGCAGAATATGGCAAATGCATTTGTCACTGTACCTGATGGGTATTGTCTTCCTGAGCCCATACAGTATTACGGTGAGTAAAGCAGAACTTTTTTATTATGAAAAAGTAGCATAGTAAGATCAACATCTCTGGGAATTCCCATTATTTTCTTCATTTTACTTTATAAGTGTATTAAAATATAGTAGCATATGCTCATACAGACTTTCGTAGACAACGTTATTACGTTGCCTGATCATTTCATATAAACATTACTGGTACTGTCTCCCTTTGACTTGCATGAAGAAGGTAAATGTTTTATGAGCGTATTCCAGAAACAATATATTTTTTTTTATGTATCTTCTATAATTGCAATAACTAATTTGACTCTGGAGGAGGCAGTATCCAAAGTTCATAAGACCTCCAAAATGTTTTCACAGAGATTTGATCAATCCCAAAGGAAGACTGAAAAATGATGCATGTTGCACAAGCTTTCTTCAGTAGAGCTATATACATTTAAGGGGGGGTGGATAAAATTAAAACTCTACAGATGGAAAGGCAGGAAGAAATTCTTCATAATTCTGTACCTATATTTTTGTAAAAAAAAATTCATAACCATAAAGGATTGTATGTGGAAAAATACTAAATAAAACAAGCCTGTTTTTTTACTCTACTGAATTTCAATTTGAGACTCCTATAACTGACATTTTTACCACTCTCTATATAATTTCTGGACCACCTTTCTCAGAATCTTGTTGTGCAACATTTTCAAAATTATGCCTGAAATACATATCAATCAAAACCACTTTACTCATTAACAAATTCAACTTCTTAGGGGAAAATTTTCTTCTGTAACATGCACAACTAATAAAAACATCCTTTAAGTGTAAAATCTAAAGGTAGCTGTATCATCAGCTGGCAAGTGATGTTCAGTTCCGTACTAACCAGAATCCAGTGGCATACACACGACACTGCCCAAATTGTTACCAAGCCATTTTTAGTAGATGCAAGAATCTACTTAAAAACATTGCAGGTAGCACATTTAAAAAGAATGTGTCAGAGTATCCTTCTGAAAATATGTTCCTCTAATATTTATGATTAAATATTTAATCTAAAAAACACTAAAAGACTTTCAAGTAGCTGTCGAGATATTCTTCAGGGGTTTATTTCACTTTCAACTTCTCCTGTACCTAGATGTTTTACCGGAGCACATCAACTATCAGCTGCAAGACCTCGATTTTCAGACTGCACCTTACTGCCAGTACTCAACAGTTCCAATTCCTCCTCCAGTACTACAGCCACAACCCTCTCAGTCTCCATACAGCACGTATGGCCTGGACTCTCAGTACAGCGACGGGCAGTGCATCAGCAGCAGCTGCGAATTAAGCAAACCTCCTTTCACTGCTCCCCACATGGATGACGGTGGATACCATGGATTCAAACGGCCAAGATTAAACCACTCGTCTCTGCGACTGAAGGGACAGGAGGAGCTGTGTGTCGTGTGTGGTGACAAGGCCTCAGGCTACCACTACAATGCACTTACCTGTGAGGGCTGTAAAGGTAAGAGAACGGGCTCTCTCCGTCTTACCCAATGCTCAACATGACGTTCCACATTTGTGATTTGAGCAAACAGATTTTGTTATTTCTTTAGTTGACGTTTCTAGAGGATTTTGATTTATCTAACAAACACTTTATTTAACACACGTAGTCCAGATTCACATTTTTATATTTTTTGAAGGAACACTCCCTCACTGTGTATTAAATATGAGCATTTCATGCATCTCATGTTTGCATTGATCACACACTACAACAGTGTCTGTTTAAGCAGGTGCTGATCTTCTCATGACTGTTTATTAAAAAATTACTTCAGTGTTACTCTTTTTTACTTATTAAAAATAAATAAAAACTGGTAATAATTACTTGCTACTTATATTTTAACTTGCTATATGGGAGCTGGCTTGATCAGGTGAGGAATACAGCGATTAATACTCATCAGAAAAAACAACACATAAAGATGTTGTTAAAAAGCACATTTAAAATCAAGGTAATGTTTCCATTGTAAAAAAGCAAACAAAAAATTGCAGTTTAATTCTTTAAATGCTTATGAAAGAAAGCTCCTTAGGTTTCTTCAGTCATAACCTAATCGTTGTCTGTAGGCTTCTTTCGACGCAGCATAACCAAAAATGCGGTATATCGATGCAAGAACGGTGGGCATTGTGAAATGGACATGTACATGCGAAGGAAGTGTCAAGAATGTCGCCTGAAGAAGTGTAAAGCAGTGGGAATGCTAGCAGAATGTAAGTTCTCCTTCTGTGCAGCCTACTTTACTACTTAACTCAGATAAAACCTTTTCCAAAGGCAATTCCTTCTCCTCATTAGAGCTCATTGGTATTGGTCTAAACTTTGTTTAGCTGTAGGAAAACTTACCTTTGGAGTCTGTAGCACTTGCAGCATCTTCATCTGCAGAAACCACCAGTGCTTGGGAAGCATCTCCTGAAATTAAGAGGGCTGCTGTTCAAAGACATTTCAAGAAAAACAGTAAGTCCTAACAAGAGGACCATGACAAGATAGGAGTAAGCATATCAAATGTGCTACTGTGTTTGGGTGAAAAAATGTACTGCACAATAGTTTTTCATGAAAAATTCTCATGCTTGTATGTCTCAGAGCCACAAGCCAGATAGCATTAGAAGACTGGAAACACTCAGGCCTTTTGCGAATACTGAACATTCACTTGCCTACTGAATAACACACTGCCATGCTCTCTAGGAAGTGTAACTCCTTGACGGCTCCTGTGATGCAAGACTTATGTTTTCAATAATAATAAACATGATGATGTCAAATTGCAATTATTTGAAAATATATACATTGATACACAATTCCATGCCCCACAGGTTTGCTGACCGAAGTACAGTGCAAGTCAAAGCGACTCAGGAAGAATTTCAAACAGAAGAGCAGTTTTCTTTGCACCATAAAACTGGAAGATGAAGGACTGAATAGTAAGCATGTATCATCTACAACAAGATCTGGAAAAGTGGGATATTTTTCTATTTAAAATATCTCTTTTAATCATTTATTTTTGCCCCAAGTCATTGTCACTCAATTGGTTTATTTTTTTAATAGATCCCAGAGAAGATGGAACTTACTCCAGGGGAACACCAGCTTCTTGACCACATCGTAGCAGCACACCAAAAATACGCAATTCCCCTTGAGGAAGCAAAGAAGTTTGTATGTATACACCACCATCAGCCTGCATTGCTAAGTTAGTATTATCCTAAGCACTGTATCTTGGTTACATCAGATGTCTAAACATTCTTTCATGCAGCTACAAGAAACTGCAAGTCCTGAGGAAAGTTTTCTCCGTCTCTCTGAGACAGCAGTTGTCCATGTGCAAGTGTTAGTGGATTTCACAAAAAGACTTCCAGGTAAGTTTCTTCCTTTGAGAAATATTACAGAATAGTGTGACTTTTTTTTTTTTTTTTTAAAGTAAAAACCATACTGATGGCATGAATCCGAGAAAAATACAGACTCTCATTCAACTCATTCATTCAATTCATTTCTTCTTCCAACTCTAACAGTCAGTCCTCGTCATGAGGACAAGTTAGAAACATTCACTTAAAAAGCTTGCTATGATTAGATTTCTCTTCCATTTCTGACATGGAGTAGAGATATTTTCTGAAAGTCAATGGACTTCAAAATACCATCCTCAGTGAATTACTATTTCAACTTATTCTCTGATATCCAGTTCAATGTGGAATTTATCATAATTGTCAAAGAAAAAAACCTAGATGTTCCTTTCAGTGAAAAGGCAGCACAGAAGGGGCTAACCAGGTGCTCCTATTCATATCTTCCTTTAGTAAAGAACAAGGGAACATGCAATTAAATTCACTGCATTTCAACATAAAGTTGACAAAATAACATTTGACAGGGAGGGTAATAAGTTTTTCATTACTCTAAGCCATAACACTTACTGACAAAAGTCAATCAACACGTCTAAAGCAGATATTTGATGTAATTTAGGACTACTGTAGAACAGATCTGAAAGAATGGATGAGCTGTTTGTCTTCTTCTTACATATCCTCCTTTGATCAGGATTACAAGTTCCTTTGCTTTTGAATTATAAGTGCAGGTAATGTGTTTGTCAGAAGGTGAACACAATTTTAAAAAGATCAGGTATCAATGAATAAGGAGAATTTCCACAGTCAATAACAATGTAGTGCATTTGTAAGGTATTAGGACATGTGATATAAATCAGACAAATTTTCAATAGTCTTGCTTAGTCACAGTTTCTACTTGTATCTTTCTGTGAATCTTCTAACACCAGACACTGATAACTGCATTTTTTCATTTTTTTTCTAAACTGCGAATTAGCAAGAAAGATCCCAATAGTCTTTGGTACATGCATCTTTTAACTATGGCTCCTGCTTTCCAGTAAAGATATTTATTAAAAAAAGCAAATCACTTTATCAACTCATGTTAGGGGCTTAAAAGCAGCCACAGCCTTCTGTGATTCTTAACATGTATCTCTCTCTGCAGGGTTTGAAAGTTTAGCCAGTGAAGATCAGATTGCACTGTTAAAAGGGTCAACAGTTGAGGCAATGTTTTTGCGTTCAGCCCAAATATATAACCAAAGAATTACTGGATGCCAGCCATCGACAAGTGAAAGTAAGTTTGACTTAATAAGCTTTCTGTTAATACCAGTAGAAGGTTCTGCCATTTTGAAACAACTCCCATTCATTTCAATTCCCTTTATCTCAAATAATTTCCTGTTCAAGCATAGTGGTACTTAAAATAGTACCCGTAATTCTGACATACCTTCTATAGGCTTTTTTTTCCAAAGAGCATAAAGAAACCAAAAATGGATCTCTGCTTTCCTCCCATTTGTTCCAAACAGAAAGCAACATTTTTGAGTCTTTGGGCAAATTGTGGGGCAGACGGATTACATTGGCTGTATTATTGACATATTGTATATTGTGTCAAGTTTATCACAAGAGACTTTCACCAACAATAATGCAACCAACGAACTTGGTGCTGGATGCCAAAAAGAACTATTTTTAATACCTGCATGGATCTGGGAAAAATTAACAGATATTCAGGTGTATATCTGCAGAACAGATGCAGACAAATATTTAAAGACACATAAAGTTTGGCTGGGAACTGTCATCTGTCTTTTTCCAGGTCATGTAAGACTTTCTGATCATGGGATAAGTTGTCATGTTCAAAACCTTGATAAAACCAACATTTATTCCATGGAAATGTCTCACAATGAAGAGAGTCCAACTTCCACTACTACCACAGGTAACAGAGGTCTCAGAACCAAAATACTTGGGAATCTTTTACTTTGCTGGCCCTGTTCTTAATCACAGTGAGCAACACTGCCCAGGTGGTCACTGCTCATGCCCTTCTCTTCCTCTTCCCTCCCTGGAGCGGCTCGGAAACACGCGCAGGCATCACTTCCTCGGGCCAGGCAGAGGTGGTGTTCACGTTCGCTTAGATCCTAGGATAGAGCCTTGAGCTACGTATCTTGAGAGCTCTACAGTACAACTGCCAGACAACTTTTATTGCTGCTTTAGAAATTAACATTGTGTTCACGAATTTTGCCAACTGCTTCACGCAATGGAACAACTTGGAATCTTAAAAGCTCCAGACAAAGATGACTTGTAATAGCAGCATCTGTTTCTGCACTGAAGTAACATTATGATTATTTTATTTCATTTTTAAGGTATAACCGAAGAATTTATTACCGCACTGTTTTACTTCTACAAAAGTATGGGGGAACTGAAAGTGACCGAGACCGAATATGCCCTGCTTGTAGCAACAACCGTATTTTTTTCAGGTAAACAGAGGCGACTCGCCCTTACGTGCCTTTCCC